ATTAGGAGAGTTCAACATCGTTCAAATACAAGGGAGTTAAAAGGACTTAACCTGGATGGTACTGGCAGTAGAGAGCCATGGAAAGGAAGGAAGAATAATATATTTGTGGCCAGAATGAATACCCGATTGGCTATAGGGACAACGAATTTATTCTAAGAAGATACTCAGATTTCAGTCTTTGAGGACTGGGAAGAGGCTAACACTATTGAATAAAACTTTTTTTTTTTTTTTTTTTTTTTAAATCCAAAGGGAGAAATGGCTTGAAAGGCAAGATAATGACATGGGTTTCAGATATAGGACCAGAGCTATAGAATTTGGAGTTAAAGACCATCCAAGGTAATCTTTCATTATACTGAGAAGGCAAGAGCCCAAAGACTTTAGGGGACTTGTCAAGGCTACCCAAGTAAAGCAATAAAACAATCTAGGCTGAATTGCTTTGCAGTGAAGGTGGGATAAGATGGCCATCAAGGATCAGGATGGGAGCTACTGATCTGGGAGCCAACAAGGAGTTGGGGTGGCTAAAGTAGGAGAGTGGGAGGGAATCTCGAGGGACGAAGATAGATGGCTGTGTCCTTGGAAAATCATATTAACAGCTAATACTTATTGGGCACTTGGTGTGTGTCAGGCACTGTTCTAAGTGTGTTTGCCTAATGTTTGACCCTCTCAAGAACTCTATGAGGTACTTCTAGTATCCCTATTTTACAGATGAAGACTTAAAGCACAGAGACAAGTAACAAGCTTCAGGTCAACCAGCAGGGAATTGCAGAGACAGGATGCAACTGTGTGCAAACTCATACCACACAGTCTATCAGTCTGGAAACAGAAAGAGGAAACAGAGACAGGGAAACACCCAGAGAAGTATCATTCAGAGACATGAGAGAAAGACTAGAGTTATAGGCGATGAAGAGTAATGACAGTGGATGTATAGGTGAGAACTGTGAGCTTTTTCTATGCAATGGAAGCCTCATCCTCCCTGGTCACCACCTGCCCAGCACCCACATGCTGTCAAGCTGGCTCCATTCCTATTATTCAGTGAATATATTAAAGGAATCACCTCTCTAAGTCGTTAAGGACTTCTGGATTTATCCCCAGCTAGAGGCACTTTTGTTCCAAGACCGCCAAGTCTATGACATTTTCTAGTATTTTATTTCATTTAACACAAACATCTAGTAAATCTTTGAGGACTGGTTGAAACAGAGGTCACCCCCAAAACTTTTCTGTTGCTACTGCTCTTTTGAAAAGCCTAGCTGTGCAAGTGACTTCATTGGATGTTCAGGTGGAGTGCCTTCTCATTCGGTCAATCTCAAAACAGGGACTGGATGATGGCACAGAGGTAAAACATGCTCTGTGAGACTAGCCCGCATGGGAGTGTACTGGGTTCGCAGCTGGAGATCTGCCTGCCATGCTGGGTAAAACCGAGGGCAGTTTGCAGCATCAAGACCCTGTTGAGAGTGCTGTCTCTCCATCTCTCTCCCTCTCTCTCTCTCTCTCTAATGGAAAACTAAATAAGCAAATAAATAAACTTTTTAAAAAAAATCTTAAAATAGCTTGAAAGTGGTCGACATCATGATAGTTTTCTTTTGCTATTCATGTTAAATTTATTTATTTAGATTATTTAGATAAATATTTATAACCGTTTGATTTTCTTTTAGCATGATAAACTTTATAAATAGCCAAACACAATTTGAAAATTCCAAGTCTTAGATTTTGTAACTAGTGATAATTCTTACAACTGCAAAAGAGACTGCAGTATAATTGGCAAAGATTGGGCTGTTTTTCCTTTCTTGCAAATTCCAGGCATCTCTGATCAGTTTTTTTTCTTTTTTTAAACATGAGCTTTAGATCCCTCTAAACATATTGTTCATTTTCACTAGGAAATTTACTGAGAAGAAAAGTAGTCTTTCTCTAATATTTTATAAGGAAATAATCCTTTCAGGCAATCAAACGCTTTCACAGCATTAACACTGTTATTACCACAGGCAACTTCTGCAATTTACAGCAGTGTTAAAAACTGAAAGTTTCTCTTACATTATCCACCAAAGGCCCTTTTATGACAAATCCACTTTGATCATGGATAGGTATGTTAACCCGTAGGTCATTATAGTCTCTTTGGAAATGTCAAAGTAAACAGTTCCACATTTTGGATTAAGTATGAAACAGGCAATAGGATTCTATTCCTGTTGATGCCGTCAGGTTTGGACAAAACTACATAACATTTCTCAGTCCTCAGTTAAAAATTTTCCAGTCTATTAAGTTGTCATTGGCCAGTGAGAGTTTGTTAAAAACTCTTAAATTTTTATCTAAAATACTATGGTAAACACATCTATCATCTTTTGGTGCCTTAACCGATTTAAACATTTTTAAAACTATATTTATTTCTTCAATGACACAGAGAGAAAGATAAAGACAGAAAGAGAGACTGGCAAGTCCAACAAGGTCTTCATACCACAATCCACCCCCAGCCTCAGCTGCCCTGGATCACAGGCATGTACACCCCGTATGCAAACCAAGGTCCTTTCCTTTGTGGGTTCAGTTGTGTTACCATGGTGCCATCACTTAACCCCTAGTTAGAAATATCTTTTAAAAACTTTTATAAGTTTATTTCTTCCATGCGCAAGAGAGACAGAGAAAGAGAGAAACAGACACAGAGAGACAGCATTCCGCCACCCTCTATAGGGTCCTGATGCTGTGAATTCATCTCCAGCTTCAGCCAGCCCTGAATCATGGGCATACTCAGCGAAGTCTCTGGACAGAAACCGAGAAACTTTCCATGTGGGCCCAGCTTTACACGGTGTTGTATTTTCCCACTGTCCACTGTCCACTCTCCAGACCCTAAAATCATTTAAGTTTTCTTGTTTTTGCTTTTCTATGATGGCAGCATAGAGAAACTGGGTGAGGTTCTGTTTGTAGCAATCTATTTGTTTTGTTAACTACTCCCTTTTGTTAGATTATTCATGCTTAATAATTATTTTTATTATTATTTATTTTATTATTTTTATTTTTACATTTAATCACTGTATATCTTGACAGTCTCCAACATGCTTTCTTAGCATAAATACAGTGCATATTAGTCAAGTCAGAGAAATTACCATAAACATTATCAACAGATAACTTTTCATTTTTGTATTTCTTAAATATTTTTGTTTTGTGTTCCTTGATCCCCTCCCTCCCATCCCCCAATTACCCACTCCTTATGACTCCCCCCCCCATACTGTCTCTAGTATCAGTTATCATCCCTGCTATTTTTAAAACCCTCCCCCGATAGTTCTCAGACAGTGAATTCTACTGCTTCTCTTTCACCCTGAAATCAGCTTCCATTCCTTTTTGATTCCTTTGCTTCCTCTGATTAAATACAGGCATCCCCTCTGGAGCCACATCTGGTTGATTAAGGCAGGACTCATATCTGTGTTTTAAAGACTTGGAATGTTCCATAACTCAGCTTTTCTCTCAGTTTCCTGATAAGGGCCCAGTAGTGTGAACAACTGGGTAGGTGCTAGGCAACAATTAAAGGCACAGCTAGGGGTCTACCATTAGTGGACATCACTGCTATAGAGAACTGAATTGCATACCCTAAAACGCATCTCCATATACCTAAGAACGTAACTTTGGGTCTTGCATATGCAATCAAGTTAAGATGAGGACATATTGGGGTAAGGTGGGCACTGAACCAATATGGCTGGTATCCTTTCAAGAATGAAAAGACACACACAGACACATGGAGAGAATGCCATGTGAAGACGGAGATGCAAGAAGAGTAGCATGTGACAGAGGTAGATTGGAGGGATGTAGCCAATAAGTCTGGGAACTCCAAGAACCGCTGGCAACAGCAGAAACTAAGAGAGGCTTGGAATAGATTCTCCCTCAGTGCCTCCAGAACCAACTTGCTGATATCTTAATTATGAACTGGTAGCTGCCAGAACTGTGGGAGAATGCATTTCTGTTGTTTTAGGCCACGTTGTTTGTGATAATTTGTTACAGCAGCCATGGGAAACTAATACAGCCACCTTCAAGCTAGAGTTGTCAGGGCCTGTCACCAGCAGCTACCTCTCTGGCAGGCTCTCATGCCCAAATCACAGCCACAGACCTCAAAACATATGTATGTCTGGCATGGAAGAGGGTGTAGGATGGATGATGACTCTTATGCTTTCTCCCGCTTGCTGCCATCCTGGCCTGAATTCTAGAAGCTCAGCTCAGCTTTCCTGCCATATAAACCCTGATCTAATTCTTACCACACTTTTCTGGGAAACTAGAACCTTGTCTTCGGCCCCTGTAGCTACACTAGCCCTACTAAGATAAGGCTTGTCACCTAAAATTATGTGATATCAGCCAAACCTCTTAGCATCTGCTTGAGCCAATGTTTGTTACTTGTCTCTTAATTATTGTGCAGAGACTGCTTGATGGTCTCTTGAGGGCAATCCAACTTTCATGTCAAGCTGTCCAGTAAGAATTTTTGCTGTCACCCCCTCACCCTACCTCCCTCTCTACTTCCAGCCAACCTCAGTCACTTGCCATTCTGCCTGTGTGAGTAAGAGTATCAGGACAAGGACTTCAGACTTTGCTATGAGCTGTCCTTCACAACACTCCCAGCTAAACCTAGAAGAAGGAATGAGGATTTGCAGCCCATACCTAAACATGAATGAGTAGGTGCTCACCACAAGGACCACAGTAGATGGAAGACACTAATAACTTAGTCATGCACACAGTACTTTCCTGCCTTTTGTATCATGACAAAGAATATGAAGAGCAAGTGAAGAGCAAGGCTGCTTCTAACCTGAAATAACTGGCAATTGCCCTGCAGGCTCTGCCCTACTACCCTGAGCCTGAGGAGAACAAACTCCCACCCACTCCAACTATTCTGACTAAGAAGCTCCACCCTGAGGCCAACACAATGCATTCCTTGGGCAGATGGAGAGTGGGAGGTAACAATGACCACTGTGTGGACAGATGGCACCTTTCCCTCTGCATGACAGGACCTGACAGGCCAATGTACCCGAACTCACCTGCACTGTCCACTGTCCCTGTCGCACTCTGGGGTGGTGGCTCCAACGATGCCACTCCTGGAACAGTTGCAGCCTTCACAGCCAGCCAGGGGGTGGAAGCTGAAGGAATGCATTTCACAGGCCTCACACTGGGGCCTGACTGTGCCAGGAGGGCAGAGGCACTTCCCCGTTATTTCTTCACACAGGCGTCGGCCACAGTTGCATGCTGACCAGGGGAGAATGAGACATTATGTGAGGGTGAGGTGTTGCCTGACCTCCAGGGGGACTGCACCAACCGCCAGGATCTCTGGAGGCTCCCAAGGGGTGTGGGAGAACTGTTTTCAACCAAAGGCCTGTTTCTCAGGGCCAAGACCAACCACACCAAGTACTTGTGGTGGACATAGTGTGTGGACCCTGGACCTATTGGCTCCAAGCTAGATGCTCAAAGGAATCCACCAGGCTACCATAATGTATCTTTCTAGCATGAGGCCTCCAGTTCATCAGAAGATTCTAGAAGCAAGCAAGGAGGGGGCTACTCACAGGCTCCTTAGCACCTCTCTACCTCAGCTCAGTGTGATGCAGGTCCAGAGCCCAGGGTCAGGGCATGATGCAGCAGTGGACCCCTCACTAGAGTAGAGACTGGTTTCTGCATGGGAACTGTCTAGCCACTGCTTTCTTCACTGCCACCACATGACATGGGCTCACCCTACATCTTGGGCCACTGAATGGATCTCGGATGAAAGTCTAAGAGCTTCTCATCCAGGCAGTGGTATGTCTGTGTGCCCCTGCAAATACTGAAGGGGCTTCTAGTAGAAAGGGGACTGAGCTGTCCAAGATTCTGACAATAAAGACTATTAACACTCATTTGCTTTGTTAAGCATATAAGTCACATGGCATAGAAATCACAAGTAGTTAAATTCTAGAGCCTTGCTACTCAGAGTATGGTCCATGGACCTTCAGCAGGGGCATCACCTGGAGTTTATTAGAAATGCAGAGTCTCAGGGCCCATAAGAATCTACATTTCACAAGATCTCCAGGCGACTCTCCAGCACAGTGAAAATCAAGAAGCTCCGCCCTAAATGAGCAGCATCCCACTGGGAACCTCAGAAGACCTCTGCTGACTGGGCCTGTGTACTTACGCTTGCAGAGTGGGAAGCCATAGTAGCCGGTTCCACAGCGGGTACACTGCCGCCCAATGACGTTCGGTTGGCAGGGGCATTGCCCACCCTCAGGGCTGCAGTGATGGCCCACAGCCCCAGTGGGGTGGCACTCACAAGGCAGGGCGCCATTGTGGTAAAAGGCCACCAGGGACCTGGCAGAATTCTTACAGAATCTGGAGGCAGTCCGAGGGCTGCAGAGACAAAAAACCAGTCATGGTGATACCAGGAAAGTATGTCCAGAAATAGTCCCAGTCTTGGGACCAGCAGTTAGCGTAATGGCTATGTCGCTGGACTCCCATGTAGTCGACTGTGGTTTGAGTCCAGTCCTGGACCCAGTGGCTTAAATTCACACTAGGTGTGTGTGCGTGCATGCCCAAGATCCCAAGAGGAGAATGGTGGAGAAGGGATTGCGGCGTGGCCATCCCCCCTGGAGGGTGACTTCTCACTTTCTGTCTCTCTGTCTCTCTCTGTCTTTCTGGCAAGTGCATGTGCCCTATAGCAAAAATGTCTAAAAAACGAAAAAGAAAAAGAAAAAGTAAAAAGAAATAGTCCCAGTCTTTACTCCACCATTGCCTCCAACTAACAATGTCTCAGGGGGTGCTCTGGGAAGAATGGAAAATGCTTCAGCCTGAGATCAGTTGGTCACAGCCACCCTGGCCCCAACCATCCACTCCAGGAGGAGACATCATAGGACTGGTCAGTGGGAAGTTGGGTGGATAGAACAAACGGGTGAAAATCCACCTACAGGATGAACTATGTGGTATGAGAATTCTACCTCAAAAGGAGAATATTTTTTGAAAAGCACACCTATCTGTATAATATATAATAAATTTGATATGACAAATTGGGGACCAGGAGATAGTCCAGTGGTAATGCAACTGGACACAGGTGGAAAGGCCCTCAGATTCAAGGTTCAAAGCCTCCCCGAGCATGCCAGGGGTGCACACACATGCCCATGATTCAGGCTAGCTGAGACTGGAGTGAATCACAGCATGTTGGGGGTCCCCCTTTTTTTTTTTCTTTCTCTTTCTCTCCCTTTCTCATAGAAAAAAATATATAAACTTTCAAAAATAAAAAAAATAAATATAATAAAATGGTTATGGGTTAGGAGAATTGTCAACATTTGTTGAATGTTGTGTCCTGGAATCCTTATCTATATCTCACCACCCCTCAACCAATTGGGCCGAATCCCCATTTCACAGATAAGGCAGCTGAGCTCCTGGAAGCTGTCTGACCTCTGAGCCTTTTCTCTTAATACTTGCTGTACAGGAGGCATCTGTCTCCAGGGCCTTTGGAGCTCCTGGGTTCCTCCGGAAACCAATGAGGGGGCAGAGTGGATCTGCAGGCGCAAACAGCAGGAGCCCATATTCAGGGCTGTCCTAGCTCTTAGCAATCAGAGACACAGAGATACTCACTCAATATAAAAACTGTCTTCTCCACAATCGTTGATAAACTCGAAGGACTTGTCCACTGATTTTTTGTGAAGTAATTGGTAGTTGTAATTTTCTGCAGGCACCACCAGAACACGGACCTAAAAGAAACCCATCAGCAAGTGTTTGGATTTCCAACAATGGGGCACACCTAAGACTATTCATTATACATTCTCTTCATCAAGATCAGTGTTGTCTATTGTTAAACCCAAGACCACATGAAGCAGGATTTATGAAAAAGGAATCATGAGAGCAACCTAAGGCAGGTTAAAAGTTCCCTGCTATGAAGGGAACAATGAGCACTGGGGATACCCCTTGGAACACCTGCTTGGAGAAGTAGTTGCCTCTAGTGCTGGCTGGAGCAGGGGACTCTAAGGACAGTAGGAGCCTGTTAGGATGGCCAGGGTTCCTTGTGATCCAAGCCCGGAATTCCCCTGGATCTCCGGAGATGTCTGTTTTGTACTCTTTTGTTTTTTTGTTTTTTTGTTTTTTTTTTTGAGGTTATTTTTTGCTATGGGGCACATGTGCTTGCCAGAGAGACAGAGAGACAAAAAGCAAGAAATCACCTCCCGGGGGAGATGGCCATGCCACAATCCCTTCTCCTCCATTCTCCTCTCCGGATTTGGTGCATGCACGCACACACGCCTGGCATGAGTTTAAGCCACCAGGTCCGAGGCTCGAACCGTGGTTGACTACATGGGAGTCCAGTGACATAGCCATTACACCAACTGCTGGTCCCACTGTTTTGTACTCTTTAAAGGTAAGCAAACCAAAGTAGTAGAACTAACGTGGACCCTTATACTATGGCTTGTCCCTGCAGTTTATATCATACCTAGTACTCCTCCATGAATAACTGTAGCCCTGGTCTTTATAAATATCACTAGTTCTCTGTACCTTTATAAAGCAGACTATGACTATAACAAATGCTGAGGAATTTCTTAAATGTCTTTGTCGACTACTCACCAACTTACACTTTACAGAGAGCCTAATGCTCTGGTGTTATTAAATTCAGTGAACATTTGTCGAGACCCATGTGGCAGTCACTGTTCTAGACACATGAGACACAATGAACGAAGTCAGGCTCCTGTTCCCTGGGAAGATGACATCCTCAGAGAGAGAAGGAGGTATAAGCTTAGAATTGGAAGGTCACAGAGTAGGGCATGGGCAATGCTTCCAGGCTCCCTGGAAGGCTTTATATATGAGGTTAATCAATTCTGAGCTGGGATAATGCATCGGCAAGATTTCTCTAAGTAGCAAAGTGGGCATACATTTTTAGAAAAAAAAAAAAAAAAGGAGAGTGTGAGAAAGCCTAGCAGCATGAAGGAAATGGCATATCTGGGAGCTTGAGAATAAGTTAGTATGGCCAGAAAGGGAGGTGGGGGAGAGGGAGGCATGGAACAAGGGAACAACAGGAGAGACTTAAAGAACTGAAGCAGGTCATGAGGACCCTGGATGCAGGGGAAGCACAGGGACCGAGGGAAGTACGTGAACCATTTCCTGCCAGTGGCAAGGAACTCAGAAAGGGCGGTGAATAATGTAGCTGGATCAGATCCACTTTAGCCAGTAGGTAACTGCCAGGAGTATGGAGGATGGACTAGAGGAAGGTGGAACCGAGGAAAGGAGACCATGGCAGGACAACTTGGCCCAGTCACTTGGAGAAAGATGGTCAGGCAGGCAATGGGACTAAAATAGATTGGATGCATCTGAAAGACAAGGCAGAGGGAGAAGACCACGGAGACAAATCACAGTAGCAGAGCAGGCAGAGAGGAGGCAGTCCTCATGACTCTGGGCAGTGGGCAGACCACTGGGTACCAACACTGAAGGTATTGAGCAGGGTAGAGGGACCAGAACTGTTCAGGTAGCAAGCTGAGTTTGAAGTACTTGTGAGATCTGGCTATAGAGATGGGCAGGAGATGGCCAGGTAATCAACTTAGAGTTCAGAAAATATCAGCAATACATTTACAGATGTGGATGTCATTCCCACAGAGAAGAATGGAATCAAAGGCATGGATGATGCTATCTGAAGATAGATGATATAGCAAGGAGTTTAGTGTGGACTACACAGGAGCTCCAAGATACGGAGACAAAAGAAGAGAAGTCATGGAAGGAGAACTAGAGAAAATGGGAGATAACTGAGAGAAAATAGATGTAGAAGCCAAAAGAAGTTTCAAGAAGAAAAGTGTGTGAAATGCTTTGGAGAAAGAGAACAGTCAGATAAGGAGGAAACAAGGACTGGTAGATAGACGATGTGCTTCCTCTTTATCACTCCTAGTGCCCTTGATTTTAGTTGTCACCTTCTGTTTGTTTGTTTGTTTATGGTAAAAGATACCTGTAAAATTTAAACATTTTCTATAAATATGAACGGGTTTCAAAAAGTTTGTAGAAAAATAAAGTACAAGTTTATATTTCATGCAAAACAAATTTTGAAATCCATGCACAGTTTTTTCATTAAGATGCATATTCCCTGAGCTGTTAGAAGGCTCCTCATGTGACTCCTTGGAAGAATTGCTGCCACTAGTCAGACAGACACACAGAGTGACCAGCCAAAGCAGAGACATGAGAATAAAATTGAAGGACAAGCAGAACACACCAAAACTAAGGACTTTCCTTCTGGAACCTTCACAGTTACAGCCACCTCGGGCTCTGAGATGTCAAATTCAATCTGGCCTTCAGTAAGCACTTGATCCTGGCAGCCAAGCACATGGGGGCAAAAAGAGGCACGGAAGGAACCTAGACAGAGGAGAGAGAAGAAGTCCTGTCACATGACTTCAAGGACAATGGGAGGCGGAGCCTGCTCACTCAGCTCACCTGACAGCGGCTGCCCTCTGTCCACAAACACCTGTGCAGGGAACATCGGGTGGTCTGCTTGATAATAATGGATGACAAAGACATATCGGCCCAGGTGTGGTATGTGTCCTCTCAGGGTCACTTGGTTCTAAGAGAGGGGAGAAAACACATAAAACTTTCAAGCTGAAGAATTAGGAATAATTAGAATCACAGAGTATTTAGAGACTAAAAACAAAACAATCTAGATATTTACCCAAGTGAAATACCTGCCTATATTCACATAGAAACCTGCATGAGAATATCTGTATCAGTCTTATTTGCAATCAAAAAACTGGAAACAAACTAAACATCCTCCATATCTTCACATGAATTTTTATAGCAGCATTATTGCTAACACAAAAACTGGAAATGTACTAAACATTCCTCACCTGCTAGATGGACAAACAGTGGTAATTTGTTAAATCAGGTTAGAGAACTGTTTAGCAGTGTTTATCAAGGTTGAACAATTGCACTCCTCAGCCCCTACCCATCCAAAATGTATATGTCTCCCAAAAGGGTGTACAAGAATGTTCGTAGCAGGACTACTCATAAAAATCATGCAGTTGAGAGTCTAACTCCATTTTTGATGTTTTCCCACTGAGAGTTGCCAAGTCTCATCATTCTCTTCAGGCCTTTTGTATATACCTGGATAAGTCAGTAAGAGTCTGCCTCCCTTAGCATGGGTGGGAAGTTCAAACACTCAATTCCAAACCACAGAAGAGGGAGCCCTCATCCTGGACTTCGCCGGTACTCTCCCCATTCCCACCAACCATAATAAAAACCAGAACCTCACTCCTCCTTCTGCTCAAGCTTGAGTGGGAACCCTGCTCTCCCCAGAAAGCCTCACAATGTGAGCTTTCAGATGACAACCATGACTCAAGGAAGGTAAATAACTTATTAAAGATCAGACACTAATTTGATACCAACCCAGGACCAGAACTCTGTAATTTTGATCTCAACTCATTTCCCCCTACTAGTCCAGGCTCCTTTCCCACATAAGATACTATTCCTTTTTATCTCTCAGACCTGTTCATTTCCAAACTTGATGCAATGTGAACTGACACAAACCATCTTTGAGATTACTAGGACTTAGTAATTGTCCATTTTCATTAAAACATTAAGTATATTTCCATAGTCAGAACTAAAACACTTTGTGATTTTATAGTTTACACTGTAGACCATATCATATTTCACTATAATATTAAATCTATATTACATTATACATCACCTTTGTCCTCTAAATGGTCGATCAATAAATGTTTATTAAGAATTTTCTACCTGAAAGGTACTGTGCTGGAACAGTGGAGAATATAAAAAAGCTTATTAGCCACAACAGCTATTCAAAAAGTCTTAGAACCCATCTTGGAAAAAGAACTTATAAAGTCAATGAGGTTAAACAGCAGCAGTCCATGAAAATCTGAGAGATCACAATGGGCCCTGAAAAATTTCCAAATGACTATGTGGAAGAACTCAGGAGGGCAAGACCACATCAGTCTGGGATAGTCATAGACAAAATTAACCAGATGCCTGCATTTCTGGGATTCTCCACAGTGAAAGTGAAGAGTCTCCAATTTTAGGGGCATCAGAACCCCCCAGAGGGTTTGTTGAAACACACAGCTGGGCCTTACCTCCAGAGCTTCTGATTCAGTGGGTCTGGGGTGGGCCCTGCAAGTCTGCCTTTCTAACAAATTCCCAAGTACTGGATACTGCTAATGTGGGGGTCACACTCTGAGAGCCCCTGATGTATAAGTAGCACTTTGGAGGGGAGTTCTACCTGTGGTGCCTTCAGGGTGATTCCAGTAACAATACTGGCAGAAGGTGTAGAATCCTGGAGCAGAGGAGAGAGAGGCTCACCACTTGGAACATCTAAAATTAATGCTTTTGGAGGAGTTTCATGAGCCAGGGAGACACAGGTGGCACTGAAAAATATAATATTTAAAATTTTTATTTTATTTATTTTTTAAATTTACCAGAAGGCTTATGCACTCATTGGAGAGAGAGAGAGAAAGGGTAAGCGATAAAGCACCTCCCATAGGGAATGTCACACGACATTCCCTTTTCTCCATCTCTCCTCACCCTCAGGATCCTGAGCACACAGCACATGTGCCTAGTGTGTGCCCCACACCAGTCCAGTGCTTAAATCATGCAATCAGCCATGTGAGATCCAGCCACCCCAACCACCATACCACTGACTGGCTGGATCTAAAATTTAATTTTGACAAATAAAGCCAAACTGCAGAACTGTCTGTCAGAGAAGACACATGGGCCATGTGAGCAGAGAACTGTGTAAACATCAGAAGAGGTCCAGTACGGGAAACCACAGGACTTTAGAGAACTTCATACTTGGTGCCGTCTATTGGCCAAGTACATTCCAGCCACCAGCTCAACACAATTAATTCAAATAAAAAGAAAATCTCAATTTTGAAGTAAAGTACGCTAGACAGAACTTATCAAAACTGCCTTTTCCAGAACTAATGTTAATTGTTAAAATGAGCTCAATGCAATAAAACATTATTCATCTCTAAACATAAATGTTGATACTGTAAAAAAGAACAAATACACATATTTTTTTTAGGTACAGCCAGATCTGTATTATCTTGGTGATTTCTACAGTCTAATTATGCACACAAGATTTCATAACTATGTCTATGAATTATATTTTAATCTATTGATAATATAAAGCAACCCTACTAAAACCATTAGCTAGTTCTTACAAGGTAGTGTGAGATAGGCCATTCTTTCATAGTGTTTTAAATGAAGAGCCTCAGACACAGAGATGAAAGGATTGGAACAATGTAAGCCTTTTAAGGACTCAAGAATTCAGGCTACCTGCCCTCAGGGGCTTGGTTTAACCACTTCCTGGTTGCCTCTGTGTCAGCTTCCTGATATTACTGAATTCAGGAAGATTGCAGGGGTGAAATACCTAGCTGGTTTTGTTTTTGTTTTTGTCTTTGTTTTCTTAAACCCATCACCAGAGTCAGCCTCAGGGTGTGGTAGTTAAAGAAGTTAGATCCACATGGCTAATGACAAAGTTCTGACAAAGTTCCAGTCTTGGACCTGGAGGCTTGAGAAACACACTAGCACATGTGAGAACATGCCCAAAATCCTGAAAGGAGGGAAAGGTTGCAGCAGGACCATTCCCTATAGGGCGTGCTAGCTCACTTTCTGATGAGCTCATGTGCCCTCTGGCAAAATAAAATTCAAAAGAGAGAGAGAGAACTCCATCACTAGACTTTAGCAACTTTGCTTATGATCATTTCTGAAGTTAAGTATAAATGTTCAACCCTACAGGCATCACTGTATCACTCAGAGCATAAATGAAGGAGAAGGAAAGAACGTATTACCTTTGATTAACAAATCGTCCATAACTGGCAATACAGTGAACTTGAGGTCTCATGTATTCAGTTGAGAATTCCTCAATTGGTATGATACAAATTCGATGCTATTGGGCAAATATAACACAAAAAGTACATCACAGTTATCCTCAAAATCAACGGTAGGGTACCACACGCTCTTTATAAAGCTATTAAGTAAATAATTCATTCAGAAAAAAATTAATCATTATTTTAAAGTAATAGATACTGCAGGATGGCAGGCCCTACGGCATCATGATGCACATCAAATTCTTTTGACATATGGGATCACTGACTAAATCCTTTTGGAATAATTACATAAATCAAACTGAGAACAAAGTATATGAAAGTTCAAAATGGACACTTCTCAGTGACTTTTGGTGCCTGTTTTTCCTCTCCTGCCACAGGCCAGTGCTGGCTTCTTTAAGGCCATTCTTTCATAGTGTTTTAAATGAAGAGCCTCAGACACAGAGATGAAAGGATTGGAACAATGTAAGCCTTTTAAGGACTCAAGAATTCAGGCTACCTGCCCTCAGGGGCTTGGTTTAACCACTTCCTGGTTGCCTCTGTGTCAGCTTCCTGATATTACTGAATTCAGGAAGATTGCAGGGGTGAAATACCTAGCTGGTTTTGTTTTTGTTTTTGTCTTTGTTTTCTTAAACCCATCACCAGAGTCAGCCTCAGGGTGTGGTAGTTAAAGAAGTTAGATCCACATGGCTAATGACAAAGTTCTGACAAAGTTCCAGTCTTGGACCTGGAGGCTTGAGAAACACACTAGCACATGTGAGAACATGCCCAAAATCCTGAAAGGAGGGAAAGGTTGCAGCAGGACCATTCCCTATAGGGCGTGCTAGCTCACTTTCTGATGAGCTCATGTGCCCTCTGGCAAAATAAAATTCAAAAGAGAGAGAGAGAACTCCATCACTAGACTTTAGCAACTTTGCTTATGATCATTTCTGAAGTTAAGTATAAATGTTCAACCCTACAGGCATCACTGTATCACTCAGAGCATAAATGAAGGAGAAGGAAAGAACGTATTACCTTTGATTAACAAATCGTCCATAACTGGCAATACAGTGAACTTGAGGTCTCATGTATTCAGTTGAGAATTCCTCAATTGGTATGATACAAATTCGATGCTATTGGGCAAATATAACACAAAAAGTACATCACAGTTATCCTCAAAATCAACGGTAGGGTACCACACGCTCTTTATAAAGCTATTAAGTAAATAATTCATTCAGAAAAAAATTAATCATTATTTTAAAGTAATAGATACTGCAGGATGGCAGGCCCTACGGCATCATGATGCACATCAAATTCTTTTGACATATGGGATCACTGACTAAATCCTTTTGGAATAATTACATAAATCAAACTGAGAACAAAGTATATGAAAGTTCAAAATGGACACTTCTCAGTGACTTTTGGTGCCTGTTTTTCCTCTCCTGCCACAGGCCAGTGCTGGCTCCTTCAGATGCCTTGGGAGGAACAGGAGGGATTGTGGTGAGGGGCCAGAGAGCCTGCTGTTCAAAACAAGGAATTCCTTCTGCTAGAAATAACCCTTATTGATAAAGAATAACTCATATCTCAGCCAAATTTGGACTTCGTTGAAGAAACTATCTTCAGAGCTAGCTTTTGAGTCACATAAAAAACTGAATCATTGACTTATCAATGTATTTTACTTTAAATCAAAACTGTGTTACTACTTGAGTGCAAAACTAGTTTAGTAACAACCAAATTTTTTACTGAACACCACGGAGGCTGGAGGACCAGGATAGAAAATACCCCTGCCCTCCTAGAGAGTCTACTCTAGCCAGACTTGCCTCTGAAGGACATTTGAGTATTTCAAAAGGGCAAACCCATGCTTAAAAGAGGAAGATTCTGCCCTGCTTATAATTTCTAAAGCTGAAGAAGTTAGGATCACTGGGATTGTTAAGTTTAAGAACAGAGCCATGATTTAATAATGATCATTTTTTAAATCTGAAATCCAGCTACTTCTGTAGAGCAAACTCAAACTTTTTAATACTGGCAGACACAGATATTGAAATACATCAGTATAGACTAGCCTGGAATTTTCCACAGGGTGATACATGCTTAGTATTAGCAGGAACAGGAAGTTACTTCACACTTAGATGATCTTGCATTCCTGTAGATATTCGCAGTAATCTGGACATCCCTTCCTAGCCAGATTGCTCTGTCTCTGTTCATCAGAATTATTAATATTCAAGTTGTGTCATTATAAGGGTGGGTGTGAAGGTTATTTAATCTGCCACAATTAATATTTTAACTCATAACAATATATATCTAAGAAACTGACGAGTATTCCTTTTAAAATAGAGGCTTTTCTTTAAACTATGTGATTATAAATTTTAAATTTTTGATGGAATTTTTCAAGAAGCTAATAGAGACAGTACCATAGTTAAATGGGAATGAAAACAACCGATAATCAGTGGCACTTTATACTCCAACAATAATAATAAACTAGGAAACATAATGACAATAGATATTTCATTCATAATGATAACATTGAATAAAAATTAATGAAGTAGGGTTTTGTGAGATGTGTTCAGATTTGATGGCTAAATTTTATTAGACAATATAAAAAGGTCCTAACACATCAAGAGACAAGTCAGGTTCTAGATGGAAAGAATAAACATTAAACTAGTAATTCTTCACAGGTTAATTTTATAGAGGTAATGCAATCCCAGCCAAAACTTAATAGGCTTTTTAAAATATATAGACATAAACAAATTGCTTCTAAAATAGGATAGGCAAAACAGAAGCATACCAGAAAGAATCGAGCCACGTGTGCCTTGAGTTGAATGTCTGCATCTGCCAATAGTTCATACACAGCCATGCGACCTAGGTCATCAACCACAATGCTCCGGCAGAGAACACTGCAAGAAGGAATAAGAGTTGTCTCTCTTTTTTTTTTTTTTTTTTAAGATTTATTTCTTTCTTTCATGAGAGAGAGGGAGAAAGAGAGAGAGGGAAAAAAATACCTCCAATAGAGTCTTTATACCATGATATTCCTCAGCCTCAGCCCATCTGGTTCACAGGCACACAAATACTGGGAGACCTTGGGATGCAAACCCACCCTTCCCATGTGGATCTGACATTGCAGACCATTGCGTAAGCTTAACTTCTGAGTTTCCGCCATTGTGCTCCTCCCTATGGGTGCTGACTGATTTTCAGTTTCTCCTGGTATGCTTCTGTTTTGCCTATCCTATTTTAGAAGCAATTTGTTTATGTCTATATATTTTTAAAAGCTTATTAAGTTTTGGCTGGGATTGCATTACCTCTATATTGTTCACTGAGTGAACAATAAATAGTGAGTTGTCCTACATGGGGAGCTGAAGAAGGATGCAGCCCACAATTTCTGTGGGGAAAAGAACCTTCTGTCTGTGGCCGGTGCTTTACTTCTTAGGACAAAATCTACACTCTTCTTGTCTACTAGGCTTGATGGAATACTTGGTCTCCCAATACTTAATGGGAGAATAAGCCCCAAGGTCCAGAATGGCAGATCCCTAGGACACAGCCTTCTTGGAAATTTGCCAATATTTTTGGGACTATTCACAATTAATGTGACCCATGAGCCTCATGATGACTATCTCAGGCCAAATCAGTAAGTATAACTGGCTTTATTTAGTATTGTGGAAAACCCAGAGTTTGCTTTTGAAGTTCAATCTGTTCCCCTTCCTCCTTCCTTCCACATTTCTACCACTGGTGTTCCTTCCCTCTAAGCCATCAGGTGAGATACAGAGTTCAGGAAATTTAAACACTCAGTTTTGAACCAAAGTATGCAAGGCTAATAGCAAAACTCATTTTAAAAAGTACTTTAAAATTTTTTTTCCCTTTTTTTGGAGAGGTTTTCCCTATAGGGGGCGTGCGCTCACCAGAAAGACAGAGAGACAGAGAGATAGAAAGCGAGAACTGATCCCCCAAGGGGGATGGCCACGCCACAATCCCTTCTCTTCCATTCTCCTCTCAGGATCTTGGGCACGCACGCACACGCACCCGGTGTGAGTTTAAGCTGCCAGGTCCGAGACTCGAACCATGGTGACTACATGGGAGTCCAGTGACATAGCCATCACACTAACTGCTGGTCCCCCCAAATTTTTTTCTTTTAAACATGATCTCACTGCGCCATGATTTGCCTGCCTCAGTCTCTTGAGTAGCTGGAATTACATGAATGCCCCCTATACCTGGCATATAGGATGAGTCACAAATAGAACCCAGGCCTCCTACATAGCCTCCATCTGCCAAGTAGCAGTATCAACCAGTGCACACTCTCACGGCTGGGACAGGAGGCATTTTTTGAGTGATATATTCGACTTCATATTCTCTAGAAAATTTCCTGTCTAAATATAATTTGGGGCTAGTGACATTAAAACAACATGACCACCTTTGATACATATTTGAAATAATTTAGACAATGACTTCTTTTTTTTTTTTTTTCTTGGAGAGGTTTTTGCTATAGGGCGCGTGCACTCACCAGACAGACAGAGAGAGACATAGAGACAGAAAACAAGAAATCACCCCCCAGGGGGGATGGTCATGCCACAATCCCTTCTCCTCCATTCTCCTCTCGGGATCTTGGGCACACACGCACAAGCACCCAGTGTGAGTTTTAAGTCACCGGGTCCGGAATGGTGAACCGCGGTCGACTACGTGGGAGTCCAGCAACATAGCCATTATGCTAATTGCTGGTTCCTAACGATGACTTCTCTGGTGAGGATTAAAATGAGATAAAATATATAAAAAGGCAAGCAGTTTGTGGCATAGATTAGAAACCTAATAAATGGTTATTTTCTTTTCCAAGTGTGTGTATGTATGTATGTATGTGTGTGTGTGTGTGCCTGTGCATGTGTATTTATTAAAGCACATGCCTTTTGGATTCATACATAATCCTGGGAGTGAACTACAGTAGGTGATTTATTTAGACTTAGTTTTATGCTTATCTTGTATTAAATTCTTACTAAGAACTGGACTAACAGTACTAATTGGATTTATTTAACATTAGGATTAATGATTAAATCATTCATAATCACCTCTCTTACAGAGAGTAGATTTGATTTATCATCTCGCTGTTTTGAAAAGTGGTGCTCCTATTATCACCATTACTATTCTGTCAGGACATTGGTTTTTTTGGTTTTTTTTTTTACAAGGTAAGTTAAAACTCACATGAGAAATGCTGAGAAAAGTTCAAAATTCTATAGGAGATGTGGCAGTCATGAAAAGGCCTGTCCTTTGAGATAGGTGCTCAGGGGTCAAATATTTTCCAAACGCACCATGTTTTTCTGGACTGCAGTACTGGTTGCCCGTTTAGTTACATTTGTTGACATGACTGGCAAGGTAGAAAATATTCTGGCCCAGGGAAGAAATATGATGGGACTTTCCTGGGCATGATTAAATACAATGAAACTGATTCCTAGTCTAATGCAGTATTGTTCTGGAATTCCAATGATAAAAACTCAAAAAAACAGAACGTTGGCATTGTCATGTCTAGAGCCAAAATGATCTACAGAATGTCATGCAGTGCTCCCTCAACTCCATTCAGGCATCATCAGCAACACTCATGGAACCAGGGAAAGGTGTCCTTTCTAGATTTTGAAATTACTCCTCTCTTTGGCATAAACATTCTCAGAGCTCTTCTGAGATGATTCAGAGAGTCATCAGGAACATTGTGATTATTTCCTCCTGTCCCCTTAGTTGTCTCTACTTAGTATCCTGTGAAACAGGAATTAGGCAATGTAATCTGATAGGTGGGAAGACTTGGAGAGATGAATTGGTGAGTGGACTTGGATGACAGGGTATGGAGAAGCCCTGCTGAAGGCTTTGTGGCCAACAGTGCCCAGGATTCAGGCGACCTGAGGACCCATCCACCTAGGCGTGTACATTCCAATGGTCACTGGTGTCTCCTCTAGAGACAACTCATATTCTCATATTTTCAGATAATGACAATGTTCTGGAGAACTCTCCTAGGCCTCTCTTGTGCCTCTATTTTAAATCCAAATAAAGACCCAGTTGCAGTAACACAGGCAATAGGGTACCACTGCACAATTCTGGGGCTGTATGGCAAGGTTCTGGGTCAGTTTCTAGTCTGAACTGGGTATGATGGACACACCTATAGTTCTGGCTAGCTAGATAACTGTTGGTGGGGTTATTGCAGCATAACAGGACTCTATTGAGGGTTCTGTTTTTCTCTATATATTTTATTTAAAAAGCAAATACAATTACATTTTTTTGTCTCATCATCACTCCGAGAGACAAAACCTTTATATCTGCTTGTTTAGTGTTGCTGTAGACATGAAGTTCATTTAACCAATCCATCAAGTCTCAAAAGTTTTCACCCTTTTTTCAGCGAGAGATTTTTGCTACACAACACATGTGCTCTCTCAGAGAAACAGAAAGCGAGAAATCATTCCCTACAGGGGATGGTCATGCTGCAATCTCTTCTCCTCTATTGTCCTCCTAGAATCTCAGGCATGCATGCACATGTACCCGGTGTGAGTTTTAAGCCACTGGATCCAGGACTCAAACCATGTTCTACCATGTAGGAATCCAGCAATGTACCCATTATGCCGTCTGCTGGTCCCTCAAAAGTTTCCATTCTAAGCTATTACAAGTAGCTCTTTTCATAAGTTGTTTCATTTTTACAACAGAAAAATTGTCCAACTACTTTAGGTCATCATGGTTTTGACAAAGAGCAGCATGAAAATAGAAATAATAAAATATTCAAGGCCTTGGCCAAGGACCAGGGAGTTTCTTGCAATTCTCCACTGTCTGTTGGGGGACTTTCAGAGCCATTTGTTATTATGCCATTCATTTCTATTGGAAACCTCTTGTGCTGATTCTTTAATTAAAGCATGTTCAGTACATTTGCATGTATCTTGAAATATTATGCAAAGAAAATCATTTTTAATAAACCCTTGTCAGACTTCATGGAAGAGAACTTTATTGGGGAAAATTTTAAAGTCCTTTGTCAAATTCTTTTTCACCTGACAATTATCAAACATTAATTATCCCTAGTTCTGAAGGTGTGCTGTGTAGGCAGGTGTGCACCTCTAGCATTACTGAGAACAAGTCTTATTCCTTGTGCATCCATGCACTTGGCATAGAGGGTGACAGAGAATGAAAGATGTTGCAAATCTGAATTGATTTGCTATGTAGAGAATATAACTTTTTTAAAGAATCATTTAATTTTATTTATTATCATCATTAAAAAACAATTTGACCAGAGAGAGACAGAGAGAGAAAGGGAAAGTGAGAAATAAAGGAACATTGTGATTATTTCTTCCACAGGACCACCAGGTCTGGGACCTGAACCATGGTTGACCATGTGTGAGCCCAGTGCAACCATCTCATCGCCTGCTGTCCCCGAGAATATAATTTTTTAGAGGTTTATTTCTTTCATTCAGAGAAATAGAGAAAGAAAGACAAATAACCTCGACAGGGTATAACACTTTGATCCTCCCCAGCCTTCCCGACTAGCCAGGATTATGGGTGCAGGTGTCTGATGTGTACAGGTCTATGAGGAACAGAATCTGTGATCTCTCAGTGGGATTCAGCTTTACTTGAACAGCATATTACTGTTGCACCATCAAGCTGGCTCAGTATTCAGCTTTTAAAATGATGCCCACATAGAAGACTCTTTATATACACTAGGAATGATCTTGGATTACACAAAATTCGCCTCACACAAACAACAAGCAATCAAAACTTTCCAATGCAAATAAAAACAAAATTCCCGGGGCAGGTTTCCTAATTGTTCTGTTACAGGAATTTCTCCAGGAGTGGGATCAATTACCTGTACTTGCAACTATATATGTTCACCTGGCCTGCCAGAACAGACCCAGGGCTCTTCAGATTCACATCAACTAAAAGTAGCTGGTCTGCATCCGTGGCATACTCCACCACAGCCACATAATGGCCAACCTGCGGGACACGCAACCGCAGGTGCAGTTCCATCTGTCAGAGAGCCAAAGTAGATACTGTCATTCACATGTGAAATGTACCAGCTATGTTTACATATGAAATGGTGAAAACAGAGCTGAGAAAACACCCTGGAGGTATTTTTATGTGTCATCATAGTAAGAAGTATGGTCCTACCAGCAGGCTTGCAAGATAAAATACACAACACCTTATTAAATTTGAAATTGAGATAATTACTCATTGTTTCTCTTGACTTCAAATTTAATAGGCATCTTGTATTTTTATTTTCTAAATGTGGTAACCATTGTTATAGGGCCTCTACTCTTTCTACCCAGAGGTCTTTTAGCCACTTGTTTCTCAAGGCAAAAGACACTCCAAAACTTGAAGCAATAATATGGAGGCAGAGAATTGATGGGACGGGGAGGTGTGGTATTATCTGTCGAAGATATTTTGATCAACTGGACTGGGGAGAAATGTTCATATATTGAAATGTTCACTTTGTAAGCTAAATAATGTGATTAAATGTATAAAAAATTTTTTTAATTACCAATGGTAAATTAAAAGAATGGAAATGTGTCTTGAAGCTTTTAAACTGTTCTTTAAAGTTTAAATTATATAAATGCAAACAATGTAAACATGACATAGGACACTATGCTCCTAAAATAATGACTGTTAATAGCTTGTTTTTCACACTTTCAGTCCATTTTCTATGCCAAATATACATATGCATGAACATTTTGCTTTGTAAAGAAAAACTGAGATCATAGGAAGCAATTAGGGATGTCTTTGCAATATAATGTTGAGTCTGTATGGCTCCCAAGGCCAAAAATATTTACCTGCTTGCCTTTTACAGGGACAGTGTACCCCCTCCTGATATCAGCTATTGGTTAAGAGCTTGGGATGTGGAATGAGACCCTCCAGCTGTGTGTTCTTGGTGAGTTAACATCATTATGCCTTGGTGCTAGCAGGTGGCGTGGTGGTTAAGGGTGCTGGATTCCCACATGGCCAACCTTGGTTTGAGACCCGGACCTGGTGCCTTAATTTCTCCCTCTCCCTTTCTCTCTCTCTCTGTCTCTCTCTGGTCAAATAAAAAAATAATAATAACAAATGGAACAACCGCAGGTGCAGTTCCATCTGTCAGAGAGCCAAAGTAGATACTGTCATTCACATGTGAAATGTACCAGCTATGTTTACATATGAAATGGTGAAAACAGAGCTGAGAAAACACCCTGGAGGTATTTTTATGTGTCATCATAGTAAGAAGTATGGTCCTACCAGCAGGCTTGCAAGATAAAATACACAACACCTTATTAAATTTGAAATTGAGATAATTACTCATTGTTTCTCTTGACTTCAAATTTAATAGGCATCTTGTATTTTTATTTTCTAAATGTGGTAACCATTGTTATAGGGCCTCTACTCTTTCTACCCAGAGGTCTTTTAGCCACTTGTTTCTCAAGGCAAAAGACACTCCAAAACTTGAAGCAATAATATGGAGGCAGAGAATTGATGGGACGGGGAGGTGTGGTATTATCTGTCGAAGATATTTTGATCAACTGGACTGGGGAGAAATGTTCATATATTGAAATGTTCACTTTGTAAGCTAAATAATGTGATTAAATGTATAAAAAATTTTTTTAATTACCAATGGTAAATTAAAAGAATGGAAATGTGTCTTGAAGCTTTTAAACTGTTCTTTAAAGTTTAAATTATATAAATGCAAACAATGTAAACATGACATAGGACACTATGCTCCTAAAATAATGACTGTTAATAGCTTGTTTTTCACACTTTCAGTCCATTTTCTATGCCAAATATACATATGCATGAACATTTTGCTTTGTAAAGAAAAACTGAGATCATAGGAAGCAATTAGGGATGTCTTTGCAATATAATGTTGAGTCTGTATGGCTCCCAAGGCCAAAAATATTTACCTGCTTGCCTTTTACAGGGACAGTGTACCCCCTCCTGATATCAGCTATTGGTTAAGAGCTTGGGATGTGGAATGAGACCCTCCAGCTGTGTGTTCTTGGTGAGTTAACATCATTATGCCTTGGTGCTAGCAGGTGGCGTGGTGGTTAAGGGTGCTGGATTCCCACATGGCCAACCTTGGTTTGAGACCCGGACCTGGTGCCTTAATTTCTCCCTCTCCCTTTCTCTCTCTCTCTGTCTCTCTCTGGTCAAATAAAAAAATAATAATAACAAATGGAATTAAATAAATAAATAATTTTTAAAAATCACTATGCCTCAGAAACCTCCTGTGTAAAATGATGGTTAACTGTAGTACCTATCTCTTAAAATTGTTATGAGGATTAAACAAATTAGTACATGTAGAGCTCTCACAACTGTATGTGGAATGTAATAAACATTATGTAAATATAGATGAGTAAAATTGTGATTTTTTTTTTTTGCCATGAATTGCTTTTATTACTTGATGGTATTTGGTGTATCTTTATCATACATACAGATATGTTTCATTCTTGGTTGCCTATCATTCCTCAGTATCAATATGAAATTACTTAACTAATCCCCTGTTGATGGGCACTTAGGTTGCCTCTAATTTTTCCTACAGGACTTGATGCTTTATGGTCATCATACATATAGCCTATTGCTATTTCTGTAAGATTCCTAGATGTGCAATTTCTGTGACAAAGCATCTGAGGAGACTTCAAATGGTTCATGAAAAAATGGAGTTAAAGTGCAAGTTTACTTTGGTGCAAAAAATAGTTTTTTCCACAATGTGATTTTCCATGGAATTCTGAAGTCCTCTTAAAGATGCATATTTGATGCCTGAACTACTATTAGAACTATATTCCTTTGCAGTATACCCCCACATCAGCATGAAAGCTCAGGCCCACTTGGGCTTTACTACACATATAGTTGAAGTTGTCCTCTCTCTTCTTGCCTTTAGAAAATTCACAGTCACTGACCCTTTTGAACAGCTTCAAACAGAAGCACACTAATGCTATTTTCCACAACGATGTTTCTATCACTTCAATAATAGAAATATATGCCTCAGGGGAAAAATGTGGATTATCCACACCATTTTCTGACTGTGTTGTAGAGTAAAATATGGTAGTCACTGGCTTGTGTGGAGAAATCACTACCAGCATTTCTCCTCCAGGCATCTCCAAATCAGGGCTTTTCTGTCTTTTCACCACCACACAATACACACAGGTCAATGATATAGCGAGTTTTCTTACAGAAGTTATTATTGATAGCAAGTTCTAACATTACTCCATTGTAATTTCTACTATTCTTCCTACTCTTAGTCCTATGGATTGATTTTTAGAAGACTTATTGGAGCAGGTTTTGAGGAACTCAGATAAAAGATATAAAAGATGGCAAACAGAAACCTTACTGCTTGCTGTTATCAGTTATCTTTTGTTTTTCTAAGTTTATCCATCCATTTACTCCATGGAAGAGAGAGAGAAAGAGCCACCTACAATAGGGTCTTCATGCCATGATCCACCCAGAGACCCAGCCAGCCCAGACCACAGGCATGTGCATAGTGTCTGGTGCTCAGACACATGCTGAGACATAGTTGGTAGGTTCTCAAATCTGTTGCTTCCACAAAACTAAGAGGGATAATTAACATGTCCAATGTCAAAATGAGGATTTAAGTGCTTAGGTCAATAAATATTATTGAGTACCCTACTTTATGACAGTCTACCAAGCAAGTGGACATGATCTCTGCCTTCAGAGAGACTTGCATCAAGTAATTAAATAATTAGACAAATACAAAGTGGAATTACATGTGTGATAAGCGCTCTGAAGAGGTGCTATTGAAACATGTATGACAAGGGCCTGCACTACTAAGCATTAAAAACAAGGAACAGATGGCTAGGCCACAAAGAAAGGGAAGAGCATTTAAGCAGAGAAGACAGCCTGCAACAGGAGACTACCCCACACATATAGTGCTGTAGATCGCATATAATGCATGTTCAAGAGTCTGAAGGTCGACCACAGTAGCCAAGAAATAGAGAGCAAGAGGGGTATAATAAAATTGGGAGATAGGAGGAGCAGCTTTATAGTCCATCTTAAAATGTTTATCCTAAGAGCAATTATGTGTGTGTGGTGGGGAGGGAGCTGGAAGAAACAGTGATGATTGATAGAATATTTCTATCAATAAGTGTTCTGACTGTAATATGGAGAATGGGTGTGGAGGTGCAGCAGGCAAGGGCATATGTGAATGAGCTAATTAGAAGGCTACTGCTGAGATCTTTAGGAAAGATGAAGGTATATTGAAGAAGGGAGATAGAGAAATTCAAGAAAAATTTGGGATATATATTTGGAGAGAGATTGGCTTTGGTGGGGAAGAGAATGGAAGAAATCATGGGTGATCCTAATAATTCTGACTTATGCAGTTCGAAAGCTGATGGTACTATTTGCATAGGCAGGTAACACTAAAATGGAATTTGAGATTTCTGTGAGACATCCAAGAGGTAATGTCAAGAAGAATGTATTGTTCTGCATATAAAAAAAGTACAACTGGACATATGTCAGGAGTTATCTGGGTGGATATGGGATCTGATAAGAGGCATGGATGAGACTGCTCAGGGATAAAAGACAGGGTAATAAATCAAGGATTGAGCCTCAACAAATTCTAGCAGTTAACGTCTAGACAGAGGAAAACACACTTGCAAATGATTTTTAAGAAGCAGTCACAGAGATCAAAAGGGAACCAATATAGGGAGCTATAGTCTTAAATTATAGAATACGATGTAAAAGAGTTTTAAATGTAGAAACTGTTTGACAAGTATTGAATGCTGCTGAGAAGTTACATAGATAAGAACTGAAAAATATCCAGTGGGTTTAGTGACAAAGATATCATTGGAAATCTTGGCAAAACATTTAATGGAGTGGGAGGTGGAAGCCAGACTGGAGTGGGTTGAGGTGTGAGGGAGACAAAAAGAATTACAAACAAGAAGAATAGACAATTATTTGGAATTTTGTTGTGAAAAGGAGAAGAGTTATGGAACACTGGCTGATTAGTGGGAGAGGGCAGGAGAGTTTTAATAAAAAAAAAAATAGGTTAGAATTTAGCATTTTTAAAAGATAAAGGATGACTTCCAGTTCAGTTGGCACAGAAAATCCACATTTGCTGTATCTCCTCTGCTCCAAGAGATAGCAGCTCTGGTAAAAGCTTTAAAATAAAAACAAAAATATATACTTGGGAATTGAAAGTAAAAAGATAGTGAACATAAGTAAAATTAAAAATTGAAATGGCATGAGAGCTAGTCACAACATTGTTGTTCTTCAGGTCTGAAAGCAAGCATTTCTGGTCAGCAGTTCCGGTCATGCAAAGAGAAACAAAATAATGCTCTATATGAGACAGCAGTAAAACCCAGGCTTATATTTTAAAGCAAAGGATGAAGTTACATAAATCATGAAAAGAAGCTAAAAATACAAATTGCTGCCAACCTGTCACCTGAATTACAACTTCATAAGAAGCTATGGAACTTGAGAACCAAAGATCAAAGATGTGACCTCATGACCAAGAACTAAGGTAAAACCCCCACTGGCCCAGTTTTTGAATCTGTGCTATCATCAGTATCACAATAGTAGAAGAGGGCACACTATCTATGATATCTAGTTCTGGGCTAGACATCCAGTGGACCAGGTAAGACACTGCAAAACTACTAGGATGAGATAGGTGTAGAGAAAGAGGAGGAAGATTAAAAATTTCTTGTTTAAAATACGTCAATAAGCCTGAAAACAAAATTCCAAAACACATAAAGAAATATTAAGAAAGACAAGTAACAAAATTATCAATCAGATTTCATTTCAGATGTGATGAATTTATAGACTAGTCTGACAAAGACTCTAAGTATATGGGTCTGTAATCTGAAATCCCCAAGCTCTGAAAAGAAAATATTTGTTGGCAACTTTTTTTGTGGCAAAACCTAACCTAAGCCGGGTCACCAGGTGGCATGGTGGCTAAGGCTCTGGATCCCATATGGCTGACACCCTGGTTTGAGTCCCAAAGCCAATAGCTTAAAAAGCACTCCACTCATGTGTGCCCAAAGTCCCAAGAAAAGAATGGCGGAGAAGGGATTGTGGCATAGTCATCCTCCGTCGTGGGAAGTGATTTTTCACTGTCCCTCTCTCTCTGTTTCTCTCTCCAATGAGTACGAGTGCCCTATAGCAAGAAACTAAAAAAAAACAAACAAAATCAACCTAACCTAACCAATCAACAATCACTTGCAAAGTCTGACCTGAAATGATAATGAATCCATGTATGTAGTCTTTCTGTGCCTCCCTTGGTATGCCTATTGATGCTTTTCATTGATATATATTAACCTGTTTGACTGTAGAATGTTGCTCTAGATCACTGAGGGTGTTATCTTTTTTAAAACGTTAACAATTGTGAGTTCTGAAATACACCTGACTCCAAGGGCTTTCAGATACTCAAAAATATAAATGAAGGAGCAACTTCCATTTTAAAAATACATAAAGTTTTGAAACAAAAAAAGATGCTAAAAAAACAAATACGGAAAGTTAGTTGGATTTTTTTTTATTAAAGACATAAATTAAATTGAATCAATAAACTCAGAAAATAATACACTGGAGATAAAAAGCAGAACATTTGTGTATTATGAAAGAGTCTTGAGAAATTCACCCAAAAAACAGCACAAAAGAACCAAAAAAGGTAGAAAAACTATAAAAGAGCAGCTTAGGGATAGACTGAGGAGATACAACGCCCTTCCAGTATGACTTTAAAAAAAGAGGAATATAAAAAATGGCAAAATCATATTTGAAGATTTTTCCAGGATTAAAGATAGGAATTTTCATATTGTTCTCCATTACTCCAGGTGACTTCTGATGACTAAAAGTTAGACATTACAACAAGCCAGATTTTGGCTTGACATAAAAAAGGATTTTCTCTCCAAAAAAAAAAAAGAAAAAAGAATGGAAAAAAGGATTTTCTCATAAGTATAGTTTTTTTTTTAATATAAAACAGGCTGCTCCTAAAAGAATGAGACCTCATCTCTTTTAAGTATTTAGTATTAGATACTTAATTTAATTTAAGTTTTTAGCAGAGGGTAAATAAATAACAAGCATAGTATAAAAATAATTCTTTTGCAGAAAGAGAAATGAGATAATTTCCAAGGCCTCTTTTAATGCCATAAGTCCTTTATTTTAGCACAATGGTCTATAATAGTGCTGTTCAAGAGAACTTTCTGCAATCATGAAAATATTCTATAAATCTGTGCTAAGGGGGTGGCCAGTAGGTATATGTGATTACTGAGCACTTGAAATGTAGCTAATAAGACTGAGGAACTGGATTTTCAACTATTTAAGTTTAATTAAAGTTTCTATAGCCACATGGAACTGGTAGTTACTGTATTGAACAGTAGAGGTCTATGAGCATTCAGATAAAACAGTAAAAAAGTTTGTTCAATAAAACTGAACAACCTAGGACTTAATTTTATGCACAATCTAAAAGTGCCTGTGCTGCATAGCTCAGTATTATGGCTCTAGGCTAAAACAAAAATGAGCACACATCCCGATGAATAATTGGCACCACTTCCAAGAGGTTGACTCTTCTCAACCACATTCCCCCTGTTGTCTGGGACACACACACAGTTGTACATATGTGTGTGGTTGCACTTTATGTATGCACTTACATATATATATATAAACAGACCCATACACCTGTGTGCGTGTGTGTGTGTGTGTGCATGTGTATGTGTGCACACATACACAGGCTGTATGAGGAAGGCTGCAGTAAACTTCAATATTAGAACAGAGAGAAGGTCATTTAGTTTTTCTTTATGCATTTCTATATCATTTTACTTGTTACAACAACTATATATTATTTTGTAGGATAAAAATTTTAATAAAGTAAAATGGAATGATGACTATACTTAAGAAATATACTTAAAATCCTTTAGCTGTTACCTGCAAAAGGTTAAAAATGTAGTTTAAAAATGTACACATCTAAATATACTGTGAGAATTAATGACAAATATTTTCATTACACAAGTTAATCTCCCAAATGAACATTTCTTCAAAGGTACAAAACAGAGAATGTTGTTGAAAGTAAGGAATGAAAATACAGCAAAAAAAAAAAAATTACTTTGTCTTCATTTGGGGATGAACTGTGTTCTGACTGTTGATATACAAGAATTCTAACTCAAATCTTAAATAAATGTAGCCTTAAATGTGGTTATGTGGCTCAAAGAACTGGAAGGAAAGTAATGCCAAGACCTGTAGGAACCTGTCCTCTAGGCCATGAAGTTAGTGCCGTGGGGTGTAGCAGTTCCAGATTCTGAGCTTGAGGAATTCAGCTATTACAAGTTGCTTAGCCTAATGGGTTGGGCAGCTGGAGAAAGCTATATCCTTTTAGGGTAAGCTGTGTAGTTTTTTGAGGCCTTATAGGTTATGTCTATCTGTCTTATAAGAGATCTTGCCCTAAATCCTGTAGAAGAGGATACCCTCTTGTAAGTCCAGGTAAACAAAAAGAAAAGATTCTGTCATTGCCCACATCCCCTGTCAGTCTAGAAAGTATTCAAAGAACAACCTTAACATAGCTCAGCGTGGTGTACCATCCAGCTCCAAGGCAAATCACAGAATTCAGAAAACATTGATGAGCTCCTCTGAGAAATTCTGCCAGGTTCCTCTGAATTTGAGAAGTAACTATAGCCAAGGGTTTTTAGCTAACACAGGGGAAAGGTGGTAATAGCTTTGACAGTGAAAAAAAAGGCTGGCCCCACCTCTGTCCCGCTGAGGTCCGCCATGACTGGGTGTGCGGGTGTGGGCTGCCTCACTGCCAAGGGTCTTGCCTCCCCATCAAGCAGGAAGTGTCTGGCCTCACAAGCCAGAGTACAGGGAAATCTGGTCACTGGCAAATGCTGGTAAAGCAAGCAACTTCAACAAGGACAACAAAATACAATAGTTACAACTGAGAACATAAAGCAGTATTAAAGTGCATCCCCAAGGCCTCTTACTCATTCAATTCACTCATTCATTCATCATGCCTTCAACCAATTCTCATTAAGTGTTTACCACAGAAATTGGGCAGTAAATTTTCACCTGCTCAAGGGATGGCAGAATTAAAGGACGACAAACCCAGATTCTATTTTAAGTGCTTTCCTCACTGGATGCATGACTTTGAAGATATTACTTGGACATGCATCAACATTTCCACATGCTAAAGGGTGGTAACCACCTGTAAGCCTGCCATGGTATACAAAGTGCTTTGTGATGCTTACTTGAAAAACAAAAATAAGAGACAGAATAAAGTCACAATTAATTCATTATCCAGAGCCTTTTGCTGGAGTTGTGACCCTGAGACCTATCAGGAACCTTGCATTAAAGGCTCCTAAGTTAGAGGCCCCCAGTGATGTTGTGGCTGCACCTTCTGCCCATACTTACTTCTCTTGGGGAGGTCCTGTGTAGGCACATGGTTCTGTGACCGGGACCTGCAGAGCAGATGCTTCATAGTAGTCTCTAGGGAGCAGCACCAGATAATCCTAGCAAGTAAAGACCAAAAAGACAAGTATTCATTTTGTCGTTAGCCTTACTTATGGTAATAAAATAAACAAATATACTAGCTAAGTTAATAATAACCCAGTAAAGTCACTACTCAAACTCTCTATCAACTGCTTTCTTGTTCAACTGACTCACCAGAACACACAATAAAAGTCATCGAAAGTTCTTTACCTACTGGAGATAAGCTCCTCAAGGTGAAATTTTTCATTCTTTTTTTCTTTTTAAACAGGAAAGGTCTTGGGGACCAGCCAGTGGTGTGATGATTAACACAGCTGTATCCCACATGGCTAACTGCATGGTTCAAGTACCAGACCCAGTGATTTGAAACGCGTGCTAAGCACATGTGCATGCATGCATGCCCAAAATACCAAGAGGATAATGGAGGAGAAGTGATTGTGGCATGGCCATCCCCAGTGGAGGGTGCTTTCTCACTTTCTTTTTCTGTCTTTCTGGCATGAACACACACATGCCCTTTAGCAAACAAACAAAATGAAGGAAGGAAAGAAGGAAGGAAGGAAGGAAGGAAGGAAGGAAGGAAGGAAGGAAGGAAGGAAGGAAGGAAGGAAGGAAGGAAGGAAAAAAAAGAAAGGGAAGGGAAGCGAAGGTAAAGGAAGGAAAGGAAAGGAAAGGAAAGGAAAGGAAAGGAAAGGAAAGGAAAGGAAAGGGAAAAAAGGAGGAAAGGTTTTGCTGTGTCACAATCCTCCCACCTCTGCCTCCCAAGCTAAGACTATAAGCGCACCACCAGGCCAGACTCTTTCATACAGGGTTTCACTGGGCCACACAGGCCAGCCTTGGGCTTGTAATTCTCTTTCCTCAGACTGCTGAGTCACTGGAATTACAGATACATGCCACTGTACCCAGGTTTAGGTTGGACCAAGGATTTGAACCTGGACCTTCTGCGTGATACCATCCTATAGAGAACAGTATCTTAGCACACACCAATATGGCTGGGTCTATGTGAACATTTCCTATTTTTCAAATCTTTGAAGAAAATCTCCAGTCCCTTCTATGTTCTTGATAAATTCAAAAATTAACACAGGTAATGAACTGTCTATTGAAAACGGTGCCTCGGATACGCTGGTTGCCATCATCATTACAGAGCACTGACTGTGGGTCATGTATGATGGCTTTCTAGCCCACACCCAAGCAACCCACAACTGGCATGGTGTAAAAAGAGATGTTCTGTGATCCTGGGGATTCACAGAATGGAAGTGGTTTGCCACCTGTCCCAAGAAATGAAAGGAAGAATACATTCCACTGGGTTTTCCAATGAGCCCACAACATAAACTCAACTAAGCCACTCTTCAGGAAAAGAGAAGAACTTTGGGCTTCTGAAATGAAGATTATTTGACAGCTTTCTGGCCATATCTGCAGAGAAGGAAGAAGAGAATGCTTGCCACTATTGCACAGAGACTCATATGCAGATCATAAGGCTTTTTCTCTCCTTAGAGAAAGGTACATGAGAGGGAAAAAGTAGGAGACTGGCTCAGAGGATGGGTGGTTTTACTATGTGAGTATTTTTATTTTTTCCTTTTTTTGGAGAGGTTTTTGCTATAAGGCGTGTGCACTCACTAGAAAGACAGAGAGAGACAGAAAGACAGAAAGCGAGAAATCACTCCCCAGGGGGGATGGCCACACCACAATCCCTTCTCCATTCTCCTCTCGGGATCTTGGGCACGCACGCACATGCGCCCAGCATGAGTTTAAGCCACCAGGTCTGGGACTTGAACCGCAGTCAACTACATGGAGTTCAGCGACATAGCCATTACGCTAACTGCCGGTCCCTGTGAGTTTTTATTTTTAATAATTATTGTTTTATTAGTAAGTTTCCTGAGGTTGAGACCATATTTCTTCATTGCTTTATGGTCCCTTAGATCCTATATCAGGAAAAGTCACAAACAGGTACTTAATAAAATATGTTTAGAGAAGATTGGGTCATAATATGTATACATACATATATATTACTATATAATTACACAGACTAACTGGCATTAAGCATCTTTCCTGCCTAGGTAGTAACTTTTACAATAAATTTCTTCTTGCCATTGGCCCAACTTTGTACCCATTCTATTATTGGCATCAGTCGAATTTTCTTCTTCCTCATTTCTGACATCTGTGAAACATTCTTCTTTTAAAATAATCATGATTTTTTTCGGTTTTGTTTTGTTTTGTTTTGTTTTGTTTGAGATTTTTGCTATAGGTTGCATGCACTTGCCAGAGAGACAGAGACAGCAAACAAGAAATCACTCCCTGGGGTGATTTGGCCATGCCACAATCCCTTTTCCTCTCAGGATTTCAGGCATACATGCACATGCACTCAACATGAGTTTTAAGCCATAGAGTCTGGTACCTCAGTCAATAGCCATCAGCCAGGTGGGAAACTAGCACCTTAACACCATGCCACCTGTCAGCCCCAGCATTCTTAAACTTTTTTTTTTAAAGCAATAAAGCTTTATACTAAGAAGATGCCAGAAACAGAAAGAAAAAGGCAAGAACTGAATGGACAACATAAACCTTCACATTATTTTTGTAAAATCCCATATTTGAGAAGAATCTATAAGAGTAGGTATTCTCCCTGCTATACAGAAGAAGCAACTGAGGCAGGATTGGAGTTATGGGACTTATCTATGATTTGCTAACGTGGTCAACTAATAGAGTTATACAAGACTCACTAGAAGAAAAAGCTTTGTTTTCTAGTCTAGGTGTATGAAACCAAGCCGTTGCAAAAGACTTTGATTAGAAAAGACTTTGATATATAAACAAAAGAACTTAAAGCACATATCAAACAGGAGTATCTCAGAGAGCAGGGTTCATCCTTTCAAACCCCCACAGCTTCTGTGACTATTCTATTAGCATTTGTAGCACTGCCTTCCCCTTGCTGGAGAGTTCTTTGTCAAAGGCAATCTGTTTGGTGAGACTATTGCCTACATTTAAGGGAGAGAAAAGGAGGAATAAGGCTTGGAGAACCACTGGCTCCTGATGCTCCTTCCTTTTCCTTCCACCAAGCATGTCATTCACATTAGGGTCTTCTTGTCCTCTAGATTCTTTTGACTTCATTCTTCATGATCCCAAGTGAGGCTTTTTTTTTTTTTTTTTTTTTAAATTGCTAGTGGGTGGGTGTGCTCATCAGAAAGAGACAGAGAGAGAGATGGAGAGAACTTCCAAATGGGGCTTGGTCGCACCAGAATCCTTTTTTCTTAATTTCTGTTTCTCATCAAGATTTTGGACATGCATCCACATGTGTCCAGAATGTTTTTCAAGCCACTAGGACTAGGAGTTTGATCTGTGATCAGCCATAAGGGATCAGATTTTCTATAGATCAGGCTTGCTATGGATCAGCCCTGGACTTTTTTTTTTTTTCTTTTTTTGATGCTCTTTTGCTTCACATGAAAAATCCCAAATGCACTTTTGAAATGCAGTCATACGCCTATGAAGGTTTTGTATCTTTTCTGGTGACTTCAAGTCTTTATGAATTACAATATTTTTCTTTGTCCAAGAGAAACTGGCCAGAAGAATTTAAAATATACTTTAAGTTAGTTCTTATGCCATTATGTCATTTGAAGGCGAGTGTCACCATGGTTTTCTGGTTTAAAAAGGGGCCACTTGTGATTTCATATCTCATTCTCACTATAATTCGTAGTCTCAGATGGACTCTCTCTAAGGGGAGAAGAATTCCACAAAGTTCTCCACTGAAAGCTGTGTCTTACCAGAAGGACCCCTTCTGCTTTGATACAAGCAATCCATGTTCCTGGAATGATTGAAAATGGATCTGCAAAACCATTTCCGGGAACAGTGACAAAGGCTGGCTCCTTACTTGGCAGGAAGATGATCTCTTTGCTTTGAGCAGCACCTATCAGAAATACAAAGAATTGCTTAAGCTATTTTCTGGCAGTTAATGTTATTATTTCAAATATTTAATTTTGAACATTCAGTTCACATCTGAAAACACTGAAGATGGTTTATTGGTCACATATATTGATCAAATTTACTGATCTTAATTTTAAAAATTATATGCATATGTATAATACTAGACTAGAAAGATAATGATAAGATGTTAGCATTGGCTATTTCTTCTGTGATCATGACAAATTTTTAAATTTGTTAAATACATACATGGGGTTTTCAAAAAGTTCATGGAAAGTTATATTATGAAAAAAAGTGTGGATTTGAAAAAGATTTTTGAACCAAAATAAATACATGTATTAATTCCATCTTTTCATAACTTTTGAAATCTTTTTATAAGTCAGCTGTTTAGGAAGGTTTCTTACATATCATGTCTTCAAAATATTATATTAGGTATTAAATTTTCTTTTTCTTTTTATATTTGGTTTTAAAAATTTAATTTTCATTAATGAACATTCTTTTGTAGTGAAAAAAAAACATGGAAAGTAGCTATTTAGACAGTGTTGGAAGAGGGTGGGAAACAGCAGAGGATGAGAGGTAGGAAATTAAGGAGAGAAAAAAAAGAAATAAAATAAGTAACAAGAAATAAAAAATTATTTGTTGAAGATAACATGTATGGTAATACCTTTGAATGAGTCAATATACAGTGTATTCTGGATGGGAAAACTCATTTTGTATGCTGCAATGATATACAGTGAATGAATATAAAATAAACAAATTTAAAAGAAAAAAAAATAGAGGACCTTATACGAAAGTTTCAGAAACAAGCAAAATTGTTGTATCTGAGTTCAACTGAGACTTTTGTTCAAAAGAAAATGTTTACTCCAAGTCTTCACATTCAGTCTTGTTCTACAAACATCTATAAGACCTACTGTGTGCCAGATCTAGAACTACATTCCAAGGACAAGGCCGTGGACTCAGTCAGTGGGCCTTTGCTCCCTGATGTGGGGACAGGGGAGGTGACAGCTACAGATTAGCCAACAGGAGAATACAGCACACTGTGGACAGTGATATTTGTGAAGAGGCATCAGTTACTATGGGAATACATAACTGGGGCTCCTGACTCTGATTTGGGGAAAAGGTATCCAGGAGGAAGAAGAAGAATCAAGACAGGATATAGTCTATCTGCTTGAATTAACAGATGGCAGATTGCTGTTGCCACTTAGGAGCTAGAAGGACCTATTAGAAAGAGTTCGGAGTCTGAAGACCATCTACAAAGATAGCTGTGCACTTAGGCAATTAATAGCCCTCTCAGCCCTGTTTCCTCTGCCACGCTCTTCTGTTTGCAAAGATTTTATCATGTGAGGGTGCTAAAGTACTCTGTAACTGATAAAGCAAGCCTTTTCTTTCTATTGGTTATTTATTTATTTATTTATTTTGGGGAGAGATTTTTGCTATAGGGCGCGTGCACTTACCAGAAAGACAGAGAGAGACAGAAAGCGAGAAATCGCCCACCAGGGGGGATGGCCACGCTGAAATCCCTTCTCCTCCATTCTCCTCTTGGGATCTTGGGCATGTATGCACACATGCCCGGTGTGAGTTTAAGCCACCGTGTCTAGGCCTCAAACCGTGGTCGACTACATGGGAGTCCAACGACAGAGCCATTACACTAACTGCTTTCTACTGGTTATTAATCAACCCCCAGCCATGCAAGCTTGGCTGACATAACTTGGAAATGATGTCATTTATCCCCCAACTCTGACTCTGCCCTGGTTGCTTACATCTGGACTCTAAATGAGATTTTCACTGGTGCCATTCCGTATCCTTGTAGGATTCCAAATGCTTCCTGGAGTATGTTTCCATGACTGAAAGAAGTCCTACTTTCTCACAGGCCTTATCTCCGGCTGGTGAGTCTGAGTTCTCTCCTCAGGTCCTGGCGGCCTCAGGAACCCTTACCCCAAATGAGTTTTGCAGATCGCTCCAGATGTCTCTTGGTTTTGTGCTTTATAGTAGTTATCGTGAAACTGTTCATCCTGAGTCAGCCACGGAGGCACAGTGGTAACACAATGTTCTGCAACACTAGACCCACATGCGGAGGTTCTGGCTCATGTCCTGGGTTCTCCCTGTGTATGCCAGGGTTTAGGTTGCCTGAGGCTGGAGGTGGATCGCAATGTCAAAATCTTGTTGGAGTTACCCCCCTCTCTCTCAGCAAATAAATCATCTTTTTAAAAATTCCTTCCTCAGGACCAGCAGATGGTGTAATGATTACATTGCTGGACTCTCCCATGGTCAACAGCAGTTCGAGTCTCGGACCTGGAGGCTTAAAACTCATGTGTGCATGTGTGCCGAAAATCTCAAGAGGATAATGGAGGAGAAGGGATTGCAGCATGGCCATCCCTCTGGGGCTTGATTTCTTGTTTTCTGTCTCTCTCTGTTTCTCTGGCAAGCACACATGCTCTATAGCAAAAATCTCTATAAAAAATTCCTCTTTGCCCACTTCTCCTTGCAACAATGAAAGAATTTAAGGAATAGGGTATGATCTCTTGAATAACACTACAAAAGTGACACCCATTTAACCATGAATTAGTTATAAATTAACTTTTCTTACTGAAAATATCAAAATCCATGGGTTCAGCCAAGGTACGTAGGTTGCTATATTGATTTTTTTAAATGACAGTGAATGATAAGTTTAACAGAGAAACTTAAACAGAACATTTAGAGGATGAAATGGTAAGAAGGATGGAGCATCCAGAGAACTGTCTAATCAGACCATTGACCATGATACATTTTCTAAAGATGATCAACTTGGTGGAAACATTTCACTACTTGATCATTTCTTAATTGAAAATAAAGACTTTAAATTTTACCTACCTGTCTTATCCCAAGATGGATAAATAGTTATTTGGCCAGAGACTGCTTCAGCTCCAGGGTTAACATATCTCAGGATAACACGAAACAAGGAGAGATCTGACTTTTCCACATTCAGTATTATCCTTACTTCATTCTGAAAAATACCCAAAGCATAACGCATAGAAGAGATAACTGGTTAAAAGAAATGCTAGCCAAATGGTGACTTCATTCTATTCATGTTTCACTATTGGACTTGTAGATCATAAAGGGTCTTCAAAAAGTTCACAGAAGATGGGACCAGCAGTTAGCATAATGGCTATGTCTCTGGACTCCCATGTAGTTGACCACAGTTTGAGTCCCAGACCCAGTGGCTTAAACTCACGCCAGGTGCACGTGCATGCGTGCCCAAGATCCTGAGAGGAGAATAGAGGAGAAGGGATTGTGGCGTGGCCATCTCCCCTGGAGGGTGATTTCTCGCTTTCTATCTCTCTGTCTCTTTCTCTGTCTTTCTGGTGAGCACACGTGCCCTACTGTAAAAACCTCTCCAAAATAAAAAGTTCACAGAAGATACCTAATATTTTAAAACTATGCATAGATTTCTTTTTATTATTTTTTTAATGAAAATTTTTATCATAGAGTTCATGCACTCCCTGGAGAGGCAGAAACAGAAAGAGAAAGAGGGGAAGTAAGAAATAACCCCTCCGAGGGCGGGTGGCCACACTACAATCTCTTCTGCTTCATTCTCTTCTTGGGATTTGGGGCAAGCATGTACATGCACCCAGCATAATTTCCAAGCCACCGGGTCAGGAACTCAAAGTGCAGTTGGCCACTTGGGATCTATCACCTTAACCACCATGCCACCTGCTGGCCCCTATTTTTTTCCTACCAAAATAAACTTGTAATTTAACCCCACTTTCTACAAACTTTGAAATCCCTTCACACATACATGCACACACACATACACATACACACACACACACTCATACACACACACTTAATATGTATATCCACATTCACTCAAAAAGTACTAATAACATGGAAGATAGAAACTGGCAAGCCTAACAATGAATTAAAGTCATTTACAATCAGAGTTACAGTGAAAATTTACTCCCTCAGCAACTGAAATCCTGTTTTGCCCTTTTTGTAATCAGGCGGAGTAAAGTTTTAGATGGACTAGTTTAAGAAAATCACAGTGACAGGATAACCACCATTGGCAGGGAAAAATAAAAAGGCAGATGGAAAGGAAACTGTATTATTTCATACCTACACCCCTGTAGCGAAACCACTCCAAGATCTGCTTTACATAGTTAAAAAAAAAAAAAATCTAAATGGTCATATAAATCAAAAGTGACTAAGGAAAGGTTAACAGTCTCTAAATACATTAATAATAAATTCTGGAAGTAAATAAAATATCCCTATAAAGTTTTATGTCAATGTATTATCCAAAGGGAATTTTCAACCTACATAAGAGATTCTATTAGTCCCCAGGCCCTGAGGTTCATGCAATATTCTAGAAGCATGGCAGAGCCTGTGATCTTCAAGTAAATAGTATTTTTTTTTAATTCTGGACTATAGATTCTATTTTTAGATCTGTCTATGGCTCAAAGAAAGTTCATGAAGCTCAAAAATCCCAAATCAGTGGTTCTTTTGGTCTCTTCCCCAGCTTTTTTGGTTAAAATAAAGGGGCATCTTTTGAGAGATATGGGTGAAAATACAGGCCTATTTCAGATAGAATCCCTTGCTCTGGAGTAGAAGCTGCAGGTGTCACACTAAGGCATTCCCACTGGCCCTCACAATCAGACTGAATTTATCTTTAGTTATTAGTTCAAAGCTGTAAATATGCAAAAGCATAAATATATTCTCTTGCATATAATATGCAAGAATATAAATGTAAATATGCACAAACATAATGTAGAAGAGTAACATAAGTGGTGATCTGGGGAACACCAGCAAGATCCTCTGATCAAAAAAACTCCCTTAGAAAATCCATCACTAGACATTCCTTTGTGGCATTTAGCAATTCTTCTTTTTTTGGGGGTAGCTGTCAATAATTTTATGTTCTTAAATAAATGATCATCTAAGATTATATATGTGAATGAACAAAGCAGTTTATCAAGAAATTTACATTCTTTATTGCAAAGGGAATTTTTGTATCACATTGCATGCAGATTTCTTTTTAAAAATTTTTTAAAAATATTTTTTAAATCTACATTTAATTGCTATATATCTCTACAGTGTATAACATTGCTTTTTACAGCACAAACATGGTGCACATCAGTCAAGACAAAGGCATTACCATATACATTATCATCAGCAAACCTAATTTTCATTTTTGTGTCAAATAAACGTATTTTTTTCCATTTCCCTCCCTCCCTCTGTCTATTATCCACCCTTGTATTACCCATATCTTTAACATCTCTAGTCTCTACAGTTGCTTTCTCTACTACTATACCTTCCAAACTTTCAGTTTCTGCTATATAACACAAACATTTGGTATATATTGAGTGGGAATGTACGAAGTCTGTCTTTCATACTTTGGCTTGCTTCACTTAGCATTAAAGTCTTCCATTTTCGTCCACTTTGTATCAAATGTCAAGGTCTTGTCGTTTTTTTATGACTGAATAGTATTCCATAGAATACATATGCCACATTTTTTCAGTCCATTCATCTATTTTTGGACATTTGAATTGATTCCTAGAAATTGTGCAATCAACTGTTCTTTTAAATTGTAAACACCAGTGAGAAGGCATACACAGTCATCCCTCGCTATCTGCAGGGGATCATTTCCAGGACCCCTGAGAATACCAAAATTCACAGATGCTCAAGCCTCTTATGTAAAATGGTATAGTATTTGCATATAATCTACTCATATCCTCCAATATACTTTAAATCATCTCTAGATTACTTACGACACCTAATACAATATAAATGCTATGTAAAAAATAGTTTTGACACTTTTTAAAAATTAATATTTATTTTTATTGGGATATTTTTCTGAATATTTTTGATGCACAATTGGTTGAATCCATTGATCGGAACCCACTGACACAGAGGTACGACTGTACCTTGGTAGGGTTCTCAGTCATTCTATCATGATTTGATAGAATCTGTTGCTTTTTTCATAATAATGAGGTAAGGTCAGGGCACCAAAGAAACTGACTTGTAGTATTTAGAGAGAAGAGG